TATGGACCTCCAAAGAGTCCACCGTCTTCTAGCTATGGTGCGCCCCCTTCACCACCAGCTTCTAGTTATGGACCTCCAAAGAGTCCACCATCTTCCAGTTATGGTGCGCCCCCTTCACCACCAGCTTCCAGTTACGGACCCCCTTCTCGACCTTCACATCCAGCTTCAAGCTATGGCCCTCCATCTCGGCCTTCTCCGCCATTATCCAGTTACGGTGCACCACCATCCCCACCAGCCTCAAGCTACGGACCACCAAAAAGCGCACCACCTTCATCTAGCTATGGCGCTCCACCAGCAGTGCCTTCATCTAGTTATGGGGCACCAGCTCCACCATCTAATTCATACTTACCACCATCGCCATCAAATTCGAAACCTTTTGCTCCATCAAAACCCGCTCCACCATCTACATCGTATGGTGTTCCAACCGGATACAGTGCACCAGCACCTGCTCCAGCCCCTTCGTCTAGCTATGGAGCGCCTTCAAGCAGTTATGATGCCCCCGCTCCAGCTCCAGCCCCAGCACAAAGCTATGGAGCACCTGCACCAGCATCCTCATATCAGGCTCCATCAGCACCCTCTTCTGGTTATAGTGCACCTTCTTCTTCATACAGCGCCCCAATATCTGTGCCAGAGACCATATCACAGAGTTACTCTTCCGATGGTGGTTACAAATATCGCAAATAGACCATCACATTACAAAAAGACCCAGTTAAGATAGACGTATGAGGTAAAACAATTTTTGGCGTAATCGAAACTTATCTGGTGTCACTATCTAAGTGATCGGCACTATCTCTGCCTCGATTTAAATCACATTTGAAAATTATTTAGGTTTATATGGGTTCCTTCCAAAAACTCAGCGTTGCCATTTCTTCGCCTGTAATGAAGTTAAATATACATACATACATACATTTCTCATTTCTCATTTCTCATTGCTCATTACAAGCTCATTTCTTTCGATGTACGATTTCGTTTGTAAACTATACTCTAAGTTTCATATACATACATAAATGTATTTCTACATATGCATAAGTAATAACACTTTCCTTCATTTTCCACTTTTGCATTTTTTGTAAAATATTTGTGCATTATTTTCATTAAAAATGTTAAAAACATATGTGTTTTCATTTAAGATTTCAATATTTTTAAAATAAATTGTTAAACAAAAATGTATATGTTCTATGACTTTTTATTCCACAAACATTCAAGGAATCATACAAAAAAATATTTCCGGTTTAGGTTAGATAAAAGACACAGATAAATATACGAGTAAATCGCTAGATTGTAATATTTAAATAAATTATGAGAAAAAATATTTACTATTTCAAAAATTAACTACTTCATGTTTTTGATAAAAATTATTTTTAGTCTTCATTAATATTTACATTTATCAAGTTCATTAACTTGTTATTAATAATCTTAATGGTTTTAGTATGTAGATACTATAGTAATATTTTGAACTGGTGTTAGTAAACAATTTGGTTGCAATAATAATTTTTAAACGCTTAGTAATTTCTCTTTCAATTTCGAATGTTATATTCATCATTTAAATTGCTTTTTTTTAATTTTAAATATTCCTAGACTGTTCTTATTTTTAGCTAAAGTTTTTAGTTTACATCTTTGTTAAACATCTATCTGAGCATCTCTTTCTATCCGAAATGCATGACCTGATCTTGTACCAAACAGGGAAGACTCAGCAAGTTTTCAATCACCTACGAAAAGCTGATGGGGTTTTTTCACACTCGTTACACCACAATTACTCTATCACTTACCACACATCTACTTCTATTAGGTAATACATTAATTGTTTGTAAACAACCTAAACTTATTTGCCAAATCAGTCGCGAAAATCAGTCTACAAATATATATTATATTTTTTGCATGCGCATACATACCAAACATTGAAACCTACGTAAATACGTGCAAGTTGACAATTTTGAGACAATGGCTTGAATGCCGGTATCTTTAACTCAAGTTTCCCATCATCATAATCAGATGTCAGGAAGATACGGTAACGAAATCACGGCGCTGCATAAAGATAATCACACGCAGGGCATGGGAATTCATGGCGAATGCAAGTGTGTTTGTTTGTATGGCATGTCATTAGGTTACTAGGAAAATACTTTTATTATACCTTAAAGATACCCACAAGTGCATGAATGTACCATATGTTTGTACCATTACAAGTAGCATAAACATCTAAATGCTCGTATACTTACAAATAATTAACAAAAAATATTGCAAAACCATTTATAGGTATATACTATATATATATATATAATAATAATATAGTTTGCAAGAAACTTTTGTCATTCGTCTTGCAACAAATTGTGCTATTTTCCATTATGCACATCTAAACCGTTATGTAATACATAATATTTTACATTTTGATATAAAACACTACGCGAATAGCAACCCAGCCATGATCTCTCACCAAATAAAACCCATAGATAAAGAGGTATATGACTTAGGAGGGGTTAGTTGGTTGCAACTTTATTTATTACTCTTTTATTTAGCTCTGAAGCAAACTCTATTACGCCCTTATGGTAATTGGTAGTAATAATAAATATGCTCGAGGCGGTCAAGTTCACATTAAATTCCCATTAATAAAATCGGAGACGCGTCGCTACAACGCACAACATTGCTTTTGGCTTACATACATATGTAAATGTTTGTATATATTATGGTCTTTTTAGTAATATAAGTGTTAATTGGGATGTGTTCACCAAAAAATATTCAAATAAAAACAATACAAGTATATATTAAAACTGTACTATGCGAGAGAAAAATAATGCATAGCTACAAATGTATGCACGAGTATATTCTAATAGAGATCATACATTTTAAAATTCGTTTAATAATATATTAAAATTGAATCAAAGGTGACTAATGTTTATATCCAACTTAGGAATGACGTCAATATATTTATTTTATGGTAAATATATTACATTTTATAACTGTAACTTAAACGATTGCATTAAAACTAGATCCAAGCGGCGGTACATCGACCGGACAGTAGCGAGCGCGAACTTTTTTCACTTGTTTTTGATTGCTGCATCAATACTATCGATTAATTTATAAATAGATAAAATCTAGTGACTAGCTTGACAAATAAATTAAATGGGAAACTGATTTTTTAGGAAGGTTCTCTACAAGAAAAAGTTTAGTTCACATTTTTTAACGAAATATTAGAAAAAAATTAAGTTTAACCAGTCAACATATATGATCACTTTATCATTTACATCTGTGGTTGTTAAGGAAATGACAAAGTAAATTAAAGTCATTTGCCATCACTAAATTACATCACATGTCATTCTCTAGCAATCACTGGCATTAAATAACAGTTAACGTATGCGCTTCTTGGCTAACACGTCACTGCAGAAAAAAACATTACTTTGAAGTTTCGAACACTTTTGATCAAGCATAAAAATATTCTGCGAAATAGCTTGTCACTTTTTATGGCTTTCATTCATCTCGTGTAAATATACGGGAAAATAACAACGATCAATGACGGCTTTTGGAGTATTATCTTACCATAAACATATTGAAAATTTACATTCAAATGATTTCTTCAATTTCCAAATAATGCATATTTTTAATTGATGCACTATAACTGAATCTCCATACTAAATCATTTCGATAAAAGAAAACGTCCGATGATTTAAAGTTTTTATCGTTTATTAAATACACTCTGCTGTATTTTTATATACATATTTATGTAAGTGTATAATAAATAAACCATAATTATTTCGTGATTTTGTGTATTTTCTATATATTTAAACATTGATATGTATTTATATTTACTCCTTATTGGTTAACACAAATATACTAATTAATTTTTTTACTCTTTTCGATTATTAAAATAGTTCTCATCTTTGCCTATTCTTTTTGTTAAATTATTTTTGAAAGCAAATGGTCAAAATTTGCCAAAATCTGAAATTTTAATAAAATTTTAATAAAACTTTAATTAAGAAGTTGGTTACTTTTGTAGGAACTAATATGCGGTTATATTTAGAACAACAACTTATACAAATTTAATGTAAACTTTAAGTGACTATTGGTGGTTTTTGGTTTTCATACATGCGCATTCTGCTCATTAATCTCAAAACTGTAGAGTATATCTATCCAGCTAATACTTATCTACAAATGATTATCATAAAACTTATTTTGTGTTGCATTCTCAAAATTATCATACGTGTAGTTATATGGTTTCTCAGCTTACACCAAAATACAAATTTAAATTATTTGTATTGGTGGAAGTAAATGCGTACATACAAATTTATAACTGTGTTTAACTTAGTGCTATAATTTATGTATATCGAAATATTATGAAAACATTATATTATTTGCAACTAAAGTGAAAATAAACAAATTTAGTGAAAATAACTAATGAACGGTACAGAACAGCGAGCACTTCGACAGTTTGTTAAAACCATGAAGCGGTAAACTAGCTGGCCATTCAGTTGATGTTCATTTCCTAGCCAAGGTCATTTAATATAGTAAATTTTTTAGATTGAACCCATTTTTAAGTGTAATTTTACGAATTACGGTACATGGTTTTTAATATTGTAAAGTTTTTATGACAAAAATACCACAAAAAACTCATCGCGATCAATTTTTGAAATTATTTTTAATTAGAATTTTGTAAATATTTACACCTATTTCCTTTAAATTTTTTACAAACTTAGTTAGATTTAATATTTGTGTGTCGATTAATAGACCTAACCTAAAAAAATTACTCATCACTAACTCAAGGCACCTGATCAGAAAGTTCTTCTGAAAAAGAACTTCACCTTCGGCATTAAAACAAAGATTATTTTCCATTAATGATATGAACGAAATGCAAAAAAAGCTAATAATCGGAAATCCTTCCTCATATCTTCGTATAAACAACTAGTGTTCCTGTTGCAACAACCGCGAAAAAATTATTAAATCGTTCAAAATAAACAAATAAAATAAATATCCAACCTCTAATATTATATAACATAAAACACATAAAGAATTTCGCATTTCACTCGCATCAGCTGGTGCGTATACTATGTTCATTGATACTCATACTGGCACTAATCAATCACACTGCCACTAATTTTAAATGCTTAAAATGTTTTATTTTTCAACATTATAACGGATGATTGACGTAGGATTTTAAGAATAAAAAACACATTCAGATTTGCAATATTAACTTGTATACTGTTTTAGTTTATAATAGATATTATGAAATAATTTGTTTTTATTAAATTGGGATAAATTGCCAACAAACTCGAGGGAAATATAAATTTTATTTTTCGCAATTTTTAGAATAAAATACCGAATAACTTTTATTAGACGTGTGACATACATACATATATTTAGAAGTTACACATTTTATAATAATTCGTTTTGTGTTTCTTTGTATTTTTAACTACAATATAAGGTCTCTACATACATTTTTGTATTTCTTACACATTTCAAAAAAGCAGTCAACATCACTTGCGGTCGTTTACAGCTTAGGGTTTTTAACATTTCATGTATATATGTATATGTATGTATTTGTATCTATATTTATTATATATTAGAACTATGAAATCCTTGCGGCCTTATATATGTGTGTGTATATACAAACACTCTTAGGCTATAATATTTATTTTTTATACATATGTATGTGCGAGTAATAATACTTGTTCTTACCTAGAATCATATGTAGTTAGCTAGTACTTGTAGTTTGATTTCTCATTTGTTAATACTTATAATTACATATAGACGTACTATGTGGAGCGTCCATATATTCTCTTTTGTATACTTCCTTGCAAGTAATTTTAGGTTTGTACAAGTAAACCGATAACAGTAAATAACGATCAATAGTTTTTTCTTTCTTTTTTTCAACTATTGATATGTATGTGTTTGCAGTACATACATATGTGCTTATATGGGGCAGACAATGGAGGGGAATTCGCTATCAATTAAAATATTTTAATATATTTTTTCTATATTTCAACTACTTATATATTTGTAATTTCACTAGTAAGTTATATTATATATACGAGTATATAATATTATGAAGCTATGGCTGTCCAAATAATTTTATAGTCTTTACTATTTGTGAATTGCAGGCATACTATGGATATGTGTGGTACATATTTTTTATATAACTAGATTTACATATTTCATTAAACGCAAAAATATATTATTCATTAAATTGATAACGTACAATAGTTTCCACGAAATTTTAAAGCATGTTTTGAAGCTTTTAAAGAAGTATCTAAAGAGCAGAATGTCATCTTTACCTCGAATTTTGAGGGATGCAGCTTAACATATTTCATCATTTCGCGTTGTGTCGAAGTTTACTTTATCTATTCTACTCTAAAGCAGTGTGGCATCCTAACTGTATATATTTTCGAAAATTACCTAAAGTTAATAGGGTCCTATTGAGAATAATCATACTACTTGGAGGGCATGATCACATGTTATGATCTCTTCTATTGAATTGATTTCGTATGTGGTTAATTTCCTTAAATTCAAAATGAATTAATAGTTAGAAAAGCCTTTCTCAGCCACAGCCTGTTTTATCATGCCTTAAACACTATTCTACTTCGTTGCCCATCTATTCTTAAGAGAAATCTTATTCTGCAGAAAAAGCAATAATTAAAGATCATAAGTATGTATACTCATATGTTGCTGGGAAAGTGAATACATGTCAACATTTATGAACGGATGCGTCTTATTAATATTATTATTATAATTTCATATATAGGTTTTTATATATGTATGGTATATATAATTCATCTCACAACTTACATTAAAATGATATGTATGCGTTTTCAATTTGTAGATAATTTGCAAGTACTTTTATTCAACTAACTGTTTCAACATTTAACTTCATCTCAAAATTTCAGCTTTATTTAATGCATTTGTTTAACATACATATATACATACATATGTATGTATTTCTTAAGTGTATTTAAGCTAACACACCCGAATCAACATTAACACTCAGATGTTCATGCTTTAATATTTTTTGAATTATTTCTAATTAATATTTTTTTTTTCAATTTTTAACAGCAAACAACCGTTTACTTCCTAAAAGCGTTTCTCATACATTTTTATATCTAAATTTGTGTGTATGTAGAAGAGGGTTTCAAATAATGGAAGGTCACATGATAGAGTTTTGCATCTCACTTGCAGTGCAACAATAGCGAACATACACACTACAAGTATATACAATACTATATATTTTTATACTTTTGCTGATATGTATACGTTACAAACAATGTATTGCTTAACAATTTACATCTGGCGCTCAAAAATAGTTTTTTCATGCATCTTCTTTGTCTTGAAAAATTAAAAATGTAAATTGTGCACATAAATTGAGAATACTCGGAACGTTGCGAAATAACGGTTTATCTTGAATTATTTTGATCAAACTGAATGAGTCACTTAATGAGTTAGAATAACATATAACCATTTTTTTTCGTTTTATGGTTTGACCATTACATACCTATAAAGAAACCTTCAAATTTTTTTGTTTATAATTTCAATATATGAATCATATCTTTTTTAATTCAGTTCATCGTAAATTACGAAATCTGGGTCTCTACTGTTAATTTGCATTTATTTATATGTTTAATATAAATCAAAGAATAATATGAAAATTAAACATTTAGCCCCATAGAAGGGTCGTAGTAAGATCGTGAAACTAAAACTTTCGATGTCTAATATGAGAGTTCTTTAAAGTCGCGATCAAATAGAGAAAAATTTATTCAATGATAATTCACTAGCAATGCGTTTGAACTTCTGCAACATGATTTATTAATGATGAGAAAGTAAATGAATGACAAAATTTTAAGACTCTCACTCAGAGTTGCAAATAGTACGAACATTAAAAAAATAATTGAATTAACATTTAAATTATTTATTATTATTAAACATTATATATACATCTTAATTAATTATAATTTTAAAATTTCTAATCACAAATACCGGATTGAAAAATACAAATAAATTGAAAAAAAAAAAAAATTTATATAAAAATTCGCTACGCTGCTAATGCCGAAATTTCTAATCACAAACACCGGATTAAAAAAGGAGAAATACATTTGTTATTCCAAAAAATGAGTTTGGGATTAACACATAATAATTAAGAATTAAAAAAATAAGATTTTTTTTGAATGTCCTGGTTTTTGAGCTTAAATAAAAAATCCATATACAAAGTTGAATCCTAACTTTTTTAATTTGAAAACTCGCAATTCTGCTCACACAGATAAATTCTAAATCCTTTTTTACAATTTTGTATATAAAATCATTCATCTCTTTTACCTCTAGATGAATGGTTACGTAAGACTTCACCCTTTAAAATAACTCCAACTCTCCGGGTATTGATCTTTAAAAATTTTTAAACTCAAAAAATAGAAATTTTACAGTTTCTCATTTCATATATTAAACAAAAATTCAAATATTTTACAAGACATTTTTTAGTGCAAATATACATCTTTTGGTAAATACTTTTTATGTTACTTCAGTTAATTATAGGTATGTCTTTATTAAATATAAATATATTGTTAAGTCCAATACGGATTGATATGTTTATTTGTTTTTTTCGAGTCTTTAATGCTCATTCTAATTTTTTAGCGAACTCCTCTTTAATTAAAAATCTTTTATGTATTGATATGTATAGCATATTAAAAACTTAGTTCTTTAAATGTACCATAAGTATATAGTAAAACAAAGTATTCAACTATTTTTAACAAAATAAATTTCACTATGAAAAGTCATGGTATACAAAAAAAAGTTACCAAACTGGAACAATAAAATACAAGTATATACCTATATTTTATTCACGGCACCTGAGCACTTTGTATATTCTTAAAAAGAGTTTTACTTACTGAAATGCAAATTTTAACAAATAATGATGCAGAATTTATAACATTACTTAGTATACCTATTCAATATTTAAGCAAACAACAAGGTTAGTCACTACTGCGTTTTCTGTGCAAAGTTCTTCCTTATAAACTGTTTTAGATTAGATTCTTAATTAAAGATTCTGTTGCAAGCAAGCACATAATACATACAGAGAACAAACGAACCTATATAGGTAATTAGAGATACTTATTAAGACATTTCTGCCTAATACTTATTTCAAATAGAAAGTTTAACATTGCATTACTTTTAAAGTGTTTACAATACGCACTATTCTTTAATTAGTTATTAGCCGTAAAACACATTTAACAAAAAACAAAAAGCACAAAGTGTTAACACTGGCAACACTACACAAAAATAGTTTATAACAGCAGATAAAATATGTATATGTATATATATTTTTGTATATTTAATTTAGTTTTCTTCTACTTTCGCATTTTTTTTGCGTTGATATGTTTGTTTCATAAGCTTAGTCATTAACATAATTGCCTTCAAACTCCATTGTCCAACTGCTTGGCAAGCATTCCTATAAGTCTACACCAAATATAATTGCATTTAAATTTATGTTTGTATGTGTATGAGTTTCATGAGCACTTTTGCTTAAATTCTGTATTTTAATTTGGTTTTTTTCAATCATTTAAGATGTTAGCGAATTTTCCTCTCTTACTTTTCAGGCGTTCTTTCCACTATTCAAATTTGAAAATTTATATTTTAAATAATTAAATTCAATTTTATAAGAATGCATCTGTAGGTGTATTTATGTGTATTTGAACATGTGCTTAGAAGGCAGTATTATCATGCTCAGCAGTTGGCACAGCCATACCTTGACCGCTTAAATTTAGACCCATGCCCACATCACAGCCGACTCCGCCTCCGCCTCCGCCGCCGCCGCAGTCACTGGCACTGCTGCCACCTTTACCCGTCGCCTTGCTCAACATTTTCTGCACTTGCGCCTGCGCTGTCTGCTGATTCATGCGTTTCGCCTCGGCTACGGGTAAATCGTCATCGGACTCGAGCGCCGGATTAATACGTCCGTTACGCTCATCTTTGCCAGCCATCGTGGCTGCACCATAGGAACGTGCCAATGGACCAGCCATAACAGAAAGCTGAAAATCGTGTTGAAAAAATCACAGAAATATACAGTGCAATAAAAACTATATAAATAAGTAATTATATTTCAAAGGTCAGTAAATTATAAATTATTTAATTAATTTTACATTAATTTCAAACAAGAAAAAACGTTAATTTCGGTCGCAACGAAGCAAGAATACCCTTCACAAATAAAAAAGTGTTCCATAAAAGGACTTGATTTGGATCGGTAAGTTTGTATGGCAGCTATATGCTACATTGGTTCGGTATTGGCGATTCCGACAAACGAGCAGCTTCTTGAAGAGAAAAGGTCATGTGTAAAATTTCAGATCGATATCTCAAAACCTGAGACTACTTTGCGTATATACAGACAAACGGACGGACAGACGGACATGACTTAATTGACTCAGCTCATCACGCCAATCATTTATATGGGTATATACTCTGTAGAGTCTCCGAAATTAAAAATTAATAAAGCTTAGTCAGGGTATAACAAACAAGGGAAGGTAAATTATTAATAAAGTAAAGTACTACATGTGATTCAACTTTTGCTTGATGTTTTTGATTCAAGAAAACAGTCAAATTGTTATATAACCGCGCAATGAATAATATATAGAATATGGGTTTTGAATTTTATTCTTTTTAAAGATGACATTTTTGCAATAAAAGAAAAAACAGAAAGAACCATGAACGAATTCAAGGCGACATGAGGTATCAAGATTTTTTCTAGCTCAATCTTTCTGCTTACATTTTTCGAATTGTATTCAAAACTTACCTGCTCTCCAGCTTCTGAAGGCTCTCCCACTCTTTGTACATCTTCAGGAATATTCACTACACAACGAAAATAGTCGTAATTCGGTGGAAGTTTGCCCGATTCGAACATCATTCTGAGAGTTATGAAAAAATATAAATTTAACACTTAACTTCTCTTTGAGCAACTAAACGCTTGGTACGTACTTTGTCCACCAAGAAACACCTATCAGCGTGATCAGACTCATTAACATGGCCGTGGTACGGAAGGGGAATAACTGGGTTTGTGTCTCCTCGTCGTAGCCTGGAAAATGTATGAGAGGCGCCAGACCAAGCATTGCCTCACCACCCGACAAACGAATTAAGAGCGCCACTATATAGGCAGCTAAGCTGCCGTAAGTATTACAGTGCTTTTTAAAGTGTACGACCATCAAAAGTTGTGGGAACAAAATGACATACACCAAATCCGAGCACATGGACCTGAAATGAGTATAAAACATAAATAATCTGTTTAAATACTTCAAATCTGACGTCGCATTTACCAAAGACCATAGATGGAGGGAATCGTAAGTGCCATTATAGTTGAAAGTATACCCACAATTATTATGGCCACGCGCATCACCCAAATAATTTCCATCTCGGAAGCTTTTTGTCGGAAAATTAGTTTGTAAACATTGCGCGCAAACATGGATGCAGCCGAAAGCACTGACGAATCCGCCGAGGACATGACAGCTGCCGAAACGGCGCCAAGACCAAAGAATGATACGAAATCAGGTGTAAGATACTGTAGTACCATAGGTAATATCATGCTAGTTTGCTCGACGGTTAGTGGATAGGGGCCAGTATATTCGGTTTCATTCCATGCTTTAACAGAAAACGTTAGAAAATTTGTATTACAAAACAAACTTTATAACTTTAAGAAATTATTAATTTAGTCACAATTATTGTGAATTTACCTGTTGCTTTGGCAATGGCGCCAATGAGTACCGGAGGGATCGCCATAAGGATGCAACCAGCTGCCGCAACATATGACAACAATTGAGCACGACCAGCTGTCTTGCTTGATAACACTCGCTGAAAGTACACCTGCCATGGTATGCCACCAAATACCAATAGCAGTCCATAGTCTATGTAGAACCATTGTTTCACCGGTTCCACATGCCCGATCCAGTCAACCTCCATTGAGGACAAACTCTTCACGTGATCATTGGCCCAAGCGAATGGTATGCACATCCACAATCCGATAAATATGCAAAATAGTTGTATAACATCGGTATAAGCGACAGAGTATAAGCCACCGAAGAGCGTGTAGAAAATGGCAATACATGACGAGAGTATCACCGAAGTGCGATGGTCCATATCGATAATTACAGACAGCGTAGCGCCTATAAGAATTACACCGTTCAATTAGAAACGATTAAATTATTGACACATAAAGCACAATACAAACACACCCAAAGCGGCTAAAATGCCAGCAGCCCAGAACACCTCTCCACAGAGGGCCGGCAAAAAGAGTAAACCACCCATGCGTTCACCAAAAGAGTCCTGTAGCGGATCCAACATGGTTATGTAACCTTGTTTCCGCATAGGATTTGCAAAGAAAATGCCACCTAAAATTATACATCGCACGAGCAATGAGAAAAATTATAATCATACTCTCGAAGTGCTTAACACTTTCATGGACAAACTTACCGAAAACCAAGCTTAAGGCATAACCAAATGGCGCCTGACACCACACCAGACCGGATGTGTAGATGGCCTCTGCCGTACCGTTTATGTAGCCACCACCCACCCAAGTTGCTGTTCAGCAAAAGGTAAGAGAGTGCATTATTTCAATGTCATTGCTGTATATAAAATTTCTGGGTGATTAGACGTCACCACAGCCGTTGACCTCCAACACATGCACAACGGACTCACTCTACTCACCGGTCATTGTGAATATGCCTACGAAAAGACCAATTGAGCGTCCTGCCAGCATCACCTCCTCCTCGGAATCATTGCCTGCCGCCTTCTTACGTCCCGCCCATATACCCACAACCAGAATTAGTAGATAGAAGAGCACGATGCTCACCACACCAGCGATATTAATCATGTTGGGACGTGTATTATCTCCAGATTATTGTTTCAATCAAAAATGTACTTTAATTTCGTGTGATTCGAGTGATGACCTTGTCCAAGCGTAGTTTCAATTTTCTATTATTTAGTTTTCATGGACATATTCGAGCCAAAGGAACACTAGTTAAATGAAAATCATGTGACTAATAAATACTCACTGTAGATTTATTATGAATTTGCAAAGAAGATAAACTATGAAAATCATATAACATTTATAATTTAAAAATTAAAAGTTACTAATGCATATGTGTGTATGTACATATATATTTTGTATACGCTGAACAGAGTTATATAGTATATAAATTATCAGCGTGATGAGCTGAGTCGATTTATGGTCAACGTAATCGGTCTACTGAGCATACTATTCGCAACACCATCACCTATCTTGAAACCCAGCACTCATTATTGGATAATATTCGACCGAATAGACAACGTCCAGCACGCAGTGAAGAAAATGTAACAGCCGTAGCTGATAGTGTACACGAAGACCGTGGAGAGTTGATTCGGCGTCGTTCGCAGTAACTCGGACTGACGTATTGAACGACTTGGCGCATTTTACGTCGAGATCTTAAATTGAAAGCAAGATCAAAATACAGCTTGTGCAAGAACTGAAGCAACTCGCCCTTCCTAAGCGACATCGCTTCTCTCTATGGGCTCTTGAAAAGTTCCAAGAAGATCCGAAGTTTTCGAGCCAAAATTTTTTCAGCGATGAGGCCCATTTCTAGCTCAATGGGTATGTAAACAAGCAAAATTGCCGCATTTGGGACGAAGAGCAACCTGAAGAGATTCAAGAGCTGCCATTTCATCAGGAAAAAACAACGGTTTGGTGTGGTTTGAGGGCGGAATCATTGGTCCATATTTCTTCAAAAATGATGTCGGTAAGAATGTGACCGTAAATGGCGACCGTTATCGCGCCATGATTATTTGATGCTTGAAATTGAAGCTCGTGATCTTGGCGACATTTGGTTTCAACAAATGCTTCACTTCCAACACATCGCATCAATTAATGGATTAATTAACATAAAACTTCGTTGAGCAGATAATTTCACGTTTTGGACCGGTCGATTGGCCTTCAAGATCGTGTGATATCACACCATTAGACATTTTCCAGTGGGGATATGAAAAGTCTAAAGTCTATGTGGACAATCCCGCTTCGATTCAGGTTTTGGAGCAAAACATCACGCGTGTCATTCGCCAGTTACCAGTCGAAATGCTCGAACGAACCATCGAATATTGAACTTAACGGATGGAACATCTGAGACGTAGACGCGGCCAACATTTGGAAAAGATAATCTTCAAAAAATAAGTTCCAAAAAATTTTTTTTCGAATGATAATACACATTATCCATTAAATTTGAATATTCTGTGTAAATAAGAAGGGAACCTCGAAATGGACCACCCTTTATAAATGAAGAATATACTATCAAACCAGTAGTTAAAAATATTATGTTCTAAAATTCGATAGGATTAAGAAAATGTAGAAAAATTGGGATGACAAAAATAAAATAATCATTGGAAATAATAATAATTTAATTGTGTGAATTTAATCATTAAAGCGTTGCCATTTCCTGATTAACGCTGAGGTCGCGTAAATGCATGAAAAGTTCAAATACTGTCTATATGTATACAAATATTGCTTTAGAAGGATCGACCACAGTCTTTATATTGAAATTTATCGCTGTAATAACACAACACATAAAGATATATTGAGTAACGGTATACGCAGGTCAGATTAAACAAATAAATTCATTCACAAATTTTTTGACTGGAACTTGGAGCAGAAAGAGAAAGCATACACAGACACAGCTTAGTTAAGCACAATTACATTTATCGAAGCATACTTTTAGGCAATGATATTTGATTGGAAAGTGTCAACGGTGAATTGTTGAGTTCATTATGAGTGGAAGCAAATGGAGAGAAAGAGCGCGATTACAAAAAGTAACAACAATAAAAAAGGATAAAATTATGTGATTGGAATAAGGGAAAGAAGTTCTTTCGTATTGTTTGACTTTGAATAATGATTTAAATGACGCCTATAGATAACAACCAGTTCGACGGAATTTGCGTTGTAATCAAAAATTATGCAATAGTTGGAAATTCTTTCTAATCAAATAACTAAAATATATTTCAAAGAAGTCAACACACCTTTCAGAAACAGTTTTAGTTTAGATACTGTTTTCAATTAATTTAGAATATTCAATTTTTGTATTTCGTTTTGGTTACTTAAATAATTGTATACTTCTTTTACAATATATGCTTCGAGCATGAATTTAATGGCCAATTTATGTTTTATATTATATTTATTTCCAAAAACTCCGAGCACAAGTATTTTTGTTAATGAAAATTGCAACTATCGCCCCAGCGTAGGGACGTCTTTTGAGACGGACTATTTCTCGTTTTAAAATGTAACCCGCACATGTGCTCGAACGTTTGTCAATTCACAAAACGCTCGCATCAAAGATGGTATTTGCTATTTCGTTGAATTCAAATCAAATACACGTTATTTTCCGTTATTCTCACAAGTTATGTAACATTCGATTACAGTTTAAGATCTAAGACGTTGAACGTAAAGTATATTTATGCTCAGCCGAATTAATGATCGCAAACGAAAAGCATTGGTGGCATACACAATCGACACGCACTACTACTACTATGTAAACACTCGGTAGAGCGCCTTAAAATATATAACTTTCTTTTCAGCGTCCACCTTGACTGGACACACTAATTGCTTGACGAATAGGTATGCGCGAAAAGAAAAGTGCGCCTGAATGTATACTTTAGACGATTTTTAATGACGTCGAAAGCAATTCCATTCCGATATATACTGAATACCATATACTTAATGCGACGCTTCTTTGGATAATCAAATTAATTATTATTTTTTATTTTTAGTTATTATATTATTATTATAATTATTTTATTTTGCTGCAGTCATCACAAACCGGCGCCTAAGTCGGTGCTAACGTTTCGGTGGCAATTCGGTAACTGATTGCCAAAGCCTGGAAGAGTTCCTGTGAAGGTATTTAATCGAACTTTTAGTGTGTATTTGTGACTGAGTGCTTGATTTATTTTTGGAAGTAGTCGGAAAATTTGAGCGGCTGGAAAACTAGGGGCAGCACATTCACGTAGGAGTCGTAATGGAAGACCAAAATAACTTAGAAGCCCAGAAGGGGAAATGTGGTAAGAAATGTAAATTCAACACGAGCGTACATTAAAGCATATATACTTACAGACATACTTATAGTTATTATAGAATAGTAGAGTTAATATAGTATAAAGTTTATTTAGGATATGAAATAATGCATAGTGTATCACATGTAATTTTAAATTTTGTTTTAGCTTAGTTGTGATTTAACACATATAATTAAAATGTCTGCACTATTTTGTTGTTGTTGTTGTTGTAGCTAGACAGCTTTATATCTTACAATTTTATTTAATTTTTTCTCTACTTTTTTTTAATTTTCCATAATATTATATATGTAAATATATATTTATATAATTTTTATATAAAAAAAAACTAGTAAAAACTCATCTGGCATTATCATTTACGTCAAAATTGATTTGCGTTAACAGCTGCTTTTTAGCATGTAAACGATTAATTTGAGTTTTTGATTGTACATTAAATGTTTATTACATTTCGCGCGCACCAAGATTCTACTATTTAATAAGTTTAATAACACAATATATTGTGATTTGAGTGCGGAAAATATTTGTGCTTTAATCATATAACTTAGATTTAATTTGGCACAAATCATGGAAGAATTCAAAGTTCCTCTTATGCCACCAAACACATCAGGCAAAGTGGAAAAACCTCCAGAGGCGCAAGCAAGCGAAGTTAAAGATGTGGACAAAGATGAAATAAAAGATATTTCAAAAGCGCCTAATACCACTAATACACCAAATCAAGTTTGTCCTTACAAAGTGCCACCATGGTCCGAGCCTCCACCCGAATCTACCAACTATAAATTTGAAGTTTTGAAATCGGGTCAAATTATAAGTGAAATCGATAATTTACAAAAGCAAGCGATTTGGAAGTTTGGGCGATTACCACCACCAGCCAACGATCTCGAATTGGCTCATCCCACGATTTCTCGTTTTCATGCTATTCTTCAGTACCGCCCCAAAAAGGAACATTTACCATCTGACTCAGAGAAAAACACCGATAATCCTAGTGCAGATCCCCCAGAGGGTTGGTATATATACGATCTTAATAGTACGCATGGAACATTTTTGAATAAGCAACGTATACCCCCTCAGGTTTTTATACGCATGCGTGTTGGTCATATGTTACGCTTAGGTGCCAGCACAAGATCATATATTTTGCAAGGTCCAGAAGAAGATTCGGAACCAGAGTCAGATTTAACTGTAACAGAATTACGTGAACAACAAAAACAAAAGCAAGCTGCCGCAGAAGCTGAAGCGATAAGGAAAGCAGCGGAAGCAGAAGAGCAGGAACGAAATGAGGGCATCAATTGGGGTATGGGGGAAGATGCAGATGAGGAAACTGACTTAGCGCATAATCCATTTGCAAGCACAAACAATGAAGAACTATTTCTCGATGATCCAAAGAAAACTCTTCGGGGCTATTTCGAACGTGAAGGACTGCAATTGGAATACAAATGCGATGAAATGTCTGCCGGATCGTTTGTTTGCCGCGTAGAACTACCACTTGATGATGCATATGGCCGCCCCATTATAGCTGAAGTTGTGCATAAAGGTCGCAAAAAGGAGTGTGTTGCGCAATGTGCTTTGGAAGCTTGCCGAATTCTAGATCGACACGGTGTTCTACGTCAATCAAATCAAGGTAAAAATTTTAAATAAATCGATCATGATAACATAAACTATTAATTTTATTATTATTCTTTTTTTTTTTTTGTTCAGAACCTTTAAAGAGAAAAGTAAAATCTCAAGCAGATTCTGACGATGACGATTTTCTTGACAGAACAGGGGATATTGAACGAAAAAAGCTGCGAAAATCAAATCCTACAACTAATGTCGCCTTAACATACGAAGATTTGGTAAGAAATACACATTTGCATTTGTTTTTTTCGAGACCAATTTTATCTAAAAATAAACATATTTCTTTTAACTTCAGCTAAAGAAGGATTCTGAATTAGAAGTGGAACTACAAAGAGTTGCGGAGGATATTGCGCGTTATCAAGAAACACAACGACGGCTGAAGGCTTCTCAATCGGATAACAGCGAAGATCTTGATCACTTTATGGAAAACTTAACCGATGACTTTTCTAACCTGGACAAAACGGAAATACGAAAATTGCGGGTAAAACGGCTTATCTAACAATTTAAAAAAAAAAGCAATATTGACATTTCTTTTTTCTTGCAGTTGGAACAACAACGGCTCAATATCGAAAAACAAAAGGTGCAAAGATTAATAAAATTAGCAAAGCCAATAGATTTCCATTTAAATATGTCCAACGAAAAGGCGAAGGCTGACTCTGCAAAGAAACAGCTACCCATGATTGGAAAACGTAATCAATTTAGTAAATTTAAGATTGCAAAGATGGTTACAACTAATAAGAGCGAAAAGACAAATAAGACAAATTTGGCTTCCGATGAAGAAGAACTGGAGGAGGATAATGAAATCGTTTTGCCACACAGCAGTGTTGTAGCTAAACCTTCTTCGATAGAAACGGTTGCTTCTGGAGAAGAAGAGCAAAGTAAACAAGTAGCTATGGTTACGAGAGTTACACAAGCATCTTCACCATCCTCAGATTGTGCTAAAAAGCTGTACGGCCCCGCTGTAGTCGTACCTATAACCAAAAACGATAAGGAAGAGGATGCATTAGATGATACAACTATAAAATCATCCTCAACAGAATACGCCCATATTGAAGATTATACAGAAGCAGAGAATACAAGAAAAAAGCGAAGACAGCGTCAAAGGCAACGTCAAAAGCGGCAAGAAATTGATATGGAGGAGCTCGAGGAACACGAGTCCAGTGAAAAGTATGCCAAATGGGTGCCGCCACCTAATCAAAGTGGTGATGGTTATACAGAATTGAATGACAAATATGGATACTAGGCTTTTTTATTTGAACGTATTGTATTATGCATTTTTATAAAAAATTGTAACTACAATCACAAATAATTTAAATTTAACGAAAAATTTTAAACAACAAAGAAACGTTATATTAACTGCCTTTGGGTTTTGCCAGTTCAATAATTCTTGGCGATGCTTTGGCTTTAAGCGCGGCTGGAGAAATTGCAAAGGGATTTTCACGTATATGTGTATTTTCGTACTCTTTTGGCTCAGCCAACTCTTTAATGCGAGCGGTGGGGCGTGCCTTAAGTGCATTCGGAGATATAGAGAATGGATTCTCCTTTAGGTCCGATTCTCCCACTCCTTTCTCGCGTGCTGTAGCTAACTCCTTAGTGCGTTTGGTGGCTAAAATTTACAAAATAATTGAATATTTATATATATATATATACTATGGAGAAGTATGTTGTGTAGGCTAATTGTTGAATTACCTTTGTAAGTTAAAGCTGTAGGATTAATAGGCACTGGCAAGCTTTGAATAAGTGCGGAGTCATCATGCGCTGTTGGTTGTGCCATTTTCTTTATATTTTCCGACGGCTCATACGACTTCATGGCTGGTGTTAGTGTCCAAGGCTCTTTAGCCGGTTCTTCAAGCGTCTTGGGTAAAGCAAGAACCTTGAATCGGCTCATCTTTTCGAGTTCCATTCTTTGCACAGGCTATGAAATAAAAAAAGTAGATAAGTGATTATTTTCATTCAAATAAATTTTAATTATTTCATGTTATAAAGTTTTTATACCCCGAACAGAGTATATTAGGTTTGGCACGTAGTTAAAAACACACAGAAGGAAACGGCCGAGACCTATACAATATATATATTAGGGTGGGTCAAAAATCCAAATGTTTTTTTTTTCGCTTGGTACTCCGAAAAATTGGCTCTCCAAGTATTAGCTCTTAGTTTTAACGGGAAAGTTCTCCGCTTTACCGTTATCTATTATTTCGGTTTTTTTTGTAAAGCTAACCTTTTAAAAGAGATTAACGGATATCGCATCAATATAACATTTAGCGGTCATACAAACTGAACGATCAGAAACATGAAATATTTTTTATTTGTCGAGTTATCTGCGCGAAATCCGGCACGGCTTATTTTCCAAAGCAACGGTACAATCTTCCAAGAAATTGTACAGATCGGACTATCATAGCAAATAACTGCCATACAAATTGACCGATTAAAATCAAGATTAAGATCCGTTGCCACGACAGTCGGATCTAAGTAACCGGAACGGATGCCGATTTTTATCCGGCCAAGCACTGTAAACTCGGCACCATTCCTCAAAATTACTTTAGGAATGTTTTCTGCCGCTACAACAACAACAAGATTAATATCTTTGTAACGCCATAAGCAATGCACATGTGTTCGGTATTAAAGCTTCGGTACAGCCGAAGAAGTTAACGTTTTTTCTTGTTAATTTGAATTTAAAATTACCAGTTTCGGTTGCTTTGGCTCTTTTTTGGGTTTCGCCAACTTTTTCAGATATTTTGTGTGTTTTTTCCATTCAGCCTCATCCCATTTCTGTATTGGCACTCTGAAAATATGTTAACACACATACACATATACATGTATACACTTCTCTTCATCCGTAAGAAAAATATATATAATTTACTTTTTCTGTGGCGGTTGTATGTTAGCCAGGCGACTATATACAGACAGTAAGTTCAGACGAATTAAGCGATTTATGCCCAATATTCGCAGGGGTTCAAACCAGTCCTTAACTGTTTCTTTAAATAAAAGTAGTCTCCTGTTAAAACAAAAGAAAATAATCAACAAATTGTTTATGAATTGATCAATACATTCATTGACTTACCGCACTGCTGGTAAAGCCAATTGTTCTGTGCGTGTTCGTATGCGCACAACGCGAACAAATTCAATGGGTTTTTTATATTTACAAGGACATTGGGGTATAAATCGACCTTTGATGGGCCGATTATGCTGAGCGATTTTAAGTAAACGTTTACGTTTCGTAAACATATGCTTATGGCGTGCCACTAGCCGATGCCAACTCTTATATATGTCCGGTAGAAAACAACTTATATTTTCGGGCAAATGATCAAATGTAGGACAACATTTGGAACTCCTTGAAACTTTATGCATTTTTTTATTTTTTTAATTTTTTTCTACACCACAAATTTTATATCGAATTTTAATATTTATCAAAACAACTTCATATGGCTGTATTTTGAAAAAATTATTCCGAAATTCTAGATTTTCAAAAGCCAAAAATAATCAATAAGCAGGTGGAAAACTGACTCAAGTGAAATGAAAGTCAAATTCTTATACTCAAATCAGAGATTGCAAATATGCTTTAACGATCAATTGCCTTATGTCGAGGTCAAATTCCAAAATAATATTTGGCGGTTGGACACTGTATTTCAAATCAATCACGACCGATGCAAAATACAATAACCCACTACCAAGAAGCATCATTTGGAATAAGAACTCGCATTTAACCTACAACTAAATATTTATTCAATAAAAACATTAACTTAAAATTTAAATAAAACACATACATAATTTGCACTTTCAAGTAAATTAAGTAATTCCGATAAGGCCAAACACTAAAGCGTGTATGTCTTCGGCTTGGCCAACTCCCTTAGACGTGGTGTAATTCTAGCACGAAGCGCATTTGGAGATACTTTAAATGGATTGGCGCGGGTATGCTTGTCAAAGTAGTCTTTTGGTACTGATAGTTCCACTATCCTTTGAGATGTCTTTGCCTTTAATGCATTTGGACTTGTTTTGAACGGCGCTTCTTTGACTTCCGGTTTGTGCTGATAAACAGGTGGTGAAGCCAATTCTGTAATACGTTGCGTAGCTGTAAGAAACGAATGCAAATTTGCTTAATCTCTCAATATAAATATTGCTTTGTACAATTTGTTGCTGTGGCTATCTTTAATTAAGCTATATCTTATATAGGCTTTGAAATATAATTATAATTTTTATATAATTTTTAATATGTTTGTTTCATAAAATTATTTTAATTTATTATGTATTTCTAAATTCAGTAAACAAACCTCTATAGCTGAGCGCCTTTTCCTTCACACGGTATACCTCCTCTGGATCAAATACTTCGTAAATACGAGGTTTGGATATTTTTAAAATTCTATCGGAGGGCGTGTAATATTTCATATTGTTGGTTAATACCCATTCTTTGGGTTCATCGCTTTCATATTGCTTTGGTTTCGACAAATTTTTGAAACGTCGCAGTGCCGAGCCTGCGCCCTTGGCTTTTGGCATAAGTCCGAAACCCTATTAAAAACGTTACATATTACATATTAAGCTAGGTATATTCGTTTGAAAAAATTTTCCATATACAATAGCAATATTTGGGCAGGTCTAATAACAGAACTTAAGTCAGTACCTTCGGTAGCTTTGGTTGCTTCGCTTTTTCTTGCTTTTCTAGCTTACCAGCCTTTTGTTTCTTTTCTTCATCTTTGTTAATATCAACTCGTGGTTTGGCAAGCTTCTTTAATCGCTCCTGCCTCAACGTCTCTTCAGCGTCGGACAGTTTCTGCGGTTTTTCTCTGAGAAAAAATAAAAATTTCAATCAATGCGAAGCGAATAAGCTAAATAATTTACTTTTTACCACTTACTTTTTAATGGGAGGTTGCTTGTTCGACAAGCGGCTGTACAAAGATAGCATACTCTTACGTAACATTCGATTCACAGTGGATTTACGTTGATTGCTGAAACTCTTAAAGGAGTCACGTTCTTTTAGTTGCATAAGTCGGCTGTGAAGTGTCATTATGGCTTATCAAATTGAAAAAAAAAAATCAAAATGGGTCACTCAAAAGCTTACATCACAGGTGGAAAAGCTAACTGTTCCGTTCGAGTACGGGAAGGTATATCATCTCGCACAATCTCCACCTTACGATTACCAATCTCTGGACAAAAGCAAGGCGTCAAATATTTGCCCGTTTGACGTCTCGGCTCAGCAAGAGCCCAAATGCGCTTATTTTTGGTTACCATACATTGGTAGCGTTCAAGCAGCTTGGAATATTGTGATCGCAATTCAGGAAAGAAGCACATGTGCTCCGCGGCCACTGCCAGCGGAGCTATACAGCATTGCGGTCTGTATGCTGGCAGATTTTTCATTAGCATTTTCAATTTAACACGATATCTTTATGAAACGACTGATTCCGTTCAAACTTTATGTGTACCCGATGCACCAGCGGATAATACAAGCTTGTTTAGCTTCGGCAGTGGTTTTTAACATTAGGCTGAGCCCTTTATTTATGCAAAACTTATCGGTTATTTTTTTATATTTTTGCTTTCAACCAAAATTTTCCCGTTCAACTATTATATACTGAAATTTTGAAATACAATTCATTATCGCTCAATGACAAATTTATCTGTTCGTCCTTGATATCGTAAATGAATGAATCAAATCGAAATTAAAAATTAATTAAAAAGTATTCTACGTCTTAGCCCGCTGTTATGCATTCGTATCTTTTGCGAAATAATACACTTTTCAGATTCCTGTATTAATATAATTGATTTTATTCTGTCTCGACATTTTGAAAGAGCGTCAATGCAGAGCACAGGACAGAAGCAACATTTGCGACATATTGGTATGGCATGATGTACATAATAAAGTTTACTTTGCTAAGGCTTTAATTAATTAAGATATTTTCCGTAACGTGCAATTTTGTAGAAATTAAAATTTAAATAATGCATTATATCATAAGAAAAAAAGAAATAAATATAATAATCAAGTTGTTAGCCGATATTAGATATCTATGTATATATGTTTGTCTAGGTAGGTCAAAAATTTAACTAGTGTATGTATATTAGAATAAATGTAAATCGTCGATTGATAATAGTACAACGGTTATAACACAAAAGGTTTTTAAAGTACATATTCGCCAAATTATTACTTCAAATAAAGAAACAATATTTGATGCTAAAAATTTTGTTTTGATAAATCTTAACAATATGTTCTGATGATCTTTTGAAGCCCTCGTTGGACACTTTTGTTGGCTGATCGTCTTTTACTTTTATTATGTCTGATATTAAGCCAAAAAAATAATTTGCTCAACTAGCTTTGTTACTAGATTTGCTTGGTCGCGCACAGCTGTTACTTTGTTTAATGAATGTTGGCTATGACAGCACGTGTATAGTCTTGTGTTGTCGACTGGCCACCCAAATCCTTGGTCCGTACCTTGCCATCTTTCAGAACTTTGTTAACAGCATTAGTTATCATTTCGCTGTATGTTGGCAAATTGACGTGACGCAACATTTTCGCGCCACAGAGAAGCATGGCAGTTGGGTTGGCAACATTTTTACCCACAGCTTCTGCGAAAGTGTGTCTTGCACCCTATAATAACAAGTTCGTTAAATAAAATAGATGTTTACATATATCACATATGTTTATCTAACCGGTTCAAAGACGACCGTTTCGGCCGAATATGATGCGCCAGCAACGACACCGGCTCCACCAACAAGACCGGAACCGATATTGTCGAGTATGTTACCATAAAGATTGGGTGTAACCATAACGTCAAACTTGAAAATTGAGATAACGGTAATATATTTTTTTATGGAAAAATATTTGTCTCACCTGGTTTGGTCGTTGAACCATTTGCATGGTTGTATTGTCAACAATCATTTTCTCAAATTGAATACGTGGATACAGTTTTGCCATTTGCTCGCAAGACTTAAGGAAGAGTCCATCACCCAACTTCATAATATTAGCTTTGTGCACAGCAGTAACCTTCTTGCGGTTATTCTTGGTAGCATAGTCGAAGGCGAACTTAGCAATGCGTATGGACTTCTTTGAGGTAATGATTTTCAAGCATTCCACAATACCCGGTACAGATTCATGCTCAAGCGCCGAATATTCACCCTCCGTTTGTTCACGGATAATAACGGTATCAATGCTCTGATGGCGGGTTTTTACATTAGGTAAACTGCGCACGTGCACAACGTTGGCGTACAGATCCAACTGCCTACGCAATTTCATATTCAAAGTTTCAAGTTCACCAGCAACGCTGTAATCGGGAGTGGCCAAAATTCCCTGCAATGAAATATGCATGTTAGTGATGCATTGTAAATAAATAAAGTGCATTTTAATTTCTTTCTTACCTTAATACAAACTTTATTCTTTTGAATTGAAGCTACTACATCTTCCAATTTGGCACTCAAAATTGGATTAACTTCGGATAAAAAGTAGTTTTCGAAGTCTACTGGTGCATTGGTTGCCTTAATAAGGATGTATATATTTTGAAAAATATTGATAAATAATGTATACATTCACTGATATTTTTAATTACCTTGAAGACTTCCTGTAATGCATATACCAATTCCGGACCGACACCATCGCCTGGAATCAATGTGCATGTCACACGGCTACCTCCAAGAGCGCCAGAGTCCTGTTACGATTTACAATAAAAACTAACATAAAAAAAACTATATAAAGATTTATTTTCTTACTTGGTTAACTGCTGATGTTGTATGAATGGAGCGGACTGCCGTTGCCTAGAAATATATTATATTCAATTACCATAAATCTATCAATATAATAAAAGCTTGTTGAAATTAAGGCTTGTAACCTCAAAATTCGGACTAAATTCGCACTACGACGATTTTGTTTATGTAAGAATTGGCAAGTAGTAACAAATAATGGCAGTTGCAAACTACACCAGTATTTACTCACCTGCATCAGCGTGCGACCGAAGGTTCTTGCTAACATTGCCATGTTTATATATTTTAGTATCAACAGTTACAAAACCCCAGTTAAATATAAAGTTCCGCTCCGTTCAAAAATAAAGTTGGAGAACAATCAGCAAATCGATTTAAGACCTTCCAGTGGGAAAATTCCATTATTCAATAGCAAAGGAAAACTGTCAAATCGTTAATCGAACAGATGATTGTAAAGGAATGTGATTGCCATTTCCTTTTACTTGAATACAAACCAAACAAAAACTTAGCGAATATGATAATTTTTATTTTATAATATATAAGAAGAACTTCAGCAAATTTATAAATTAATTATTATTTCGTAAATGTATAGAACATGTGCAAAGTGTGTAATTTTTTGTAAAAACTCATTATATTTATTCACAAAAAATTAAAATAAAAACAACAATGAGATGATTAAAAAATAAAAAATTTTAATTTTCGAGGCCTCCTTCATTGGGGAGCCTTAACTATACATTTACCAAAAATTTTATGGTAACTGTCGTTTTTTTGATGGCAATATATAGACAACGGAAAAACTTTTAGCAAAGCAATATATGGTAAATGCGACATTCTTTTTAGGTATTTTTACAAACTTAATTCAAAACTTATGTTTGCAAAGGGAATAATCTTATCCAAACAACGGCAAATAATGTGATCGTTTTTTCTTAATAAACAAAACATCTATTCACAATATTTATTATATTATACATATATATTATAAAATATAATAACTACCTAATTTTACCATATATTGTATTGAAATCGTCAATGCAGTGCCGAATTGCGATGGTCCTGTTTACATTATGTAGCCACCGGTGTGAATATCTTAATTTTCTCTCTCTCTACATTTATTTGCTGTCAACTGTTATCATTCTGCACCGAATGACACAATTGACTTTTGATTTAGCTTTTTATAAAAAAATATATAAAAAAATTTATTAAGATAAATTAAAAAAACTATAAAATTATCAGTAAATTCATGGTATAATTATTGCAAATTTTGATGTTCTAAATTCTTATCTAAAGTGCTAAATCATACTTTCGGATGGCTTTAAGAGTCGCTTTACGTCTATATAAAAATTGCTCTAAACTTGTTGCCGGTGGCAGTTCTCCATCACAGTTCATTCGATTGAAGTGTTCAAGGTGAGCCGCAGAAAACTTTTAGAAAGCTGATGTCTGTCTAATCTGTGTAGTTATCTTTTAGACCTTTTTTCGTTCAACGAGAAAGGTGATTAATTTAGTTTTCTTTTTTAATCCTTAGTGGATCTAATATTCCGAAAATGCGTTTCGTACAATTTTTGCGTAAAAATGATAACCGTAGGCGGCTTGGAGTAGTATCTGAGGATGGAACAAGGCTCGTAGAATTATCCGGTGGAGCTTGCATTTCCAACGATATGGTTTCATTTATCTCTCAAGGTATTTCAATGGAAGAGGTTGAACGCAAGTTAGAAGGTCTACCAAGTGAAGAAATGTCCGATTCCCACATTCTTTTACCGCCTGTGGTGAATCCACAAAAGATCATATGCATAGGATTGAATTATAAAGATCATTGTGAAGAACAAAACAAACCTGCTCCCACCGAGCCCATTTTTTTCAGCAAGTTTAACACAGCTTTGACAGGACCAACTGGAGATGTTATCGCACATAAAATCACTACGGTAAGTCCAAAACGAGAAAGTTTAAGTATGTGTATGTAACTGATCTCGTGTTGTGATAAAAATTATTCCGATAAGTGTTTAACTGATAATGAATTAATTAAACGCCTAGTCTATTTTGTTAACCTTTTATAAAATAGACTTAAAATATAAAATTTATGATTTTTTAGAAAATTGATTGGGAAGTTGAATTAGCTGTGGTCATTGGAAAGGAAGCCAGAAAGGTGTCAAAGGAAAATGCCATGGACTATGTATTTGGTTACACAATAGCTCAGGACATTTCTGCTAGAGATTGGCAAAAGTCACGTAATGGAGGACAATTCTTAATAGGAAAATCAATGGACACATTTCTTCCTTTGGGACCAGCAATTGTCCATAAAAGCCTTATCAAAGACGTATATGACCTAAATATTCGCACAGTTATCAATGGTGTCGAAAAGCAAAACCACTTCACTGGAGATATGATTTTCAAAATTGACGACGTCATACATAGATTAACGCAGAGTATCACTCTGAAGCCAGGTGATCTTATTCTAACTGGTACACCAAAGGGTGTTGGCATGTACCGAAACCCACCAGAATATTTGAAACCTGGTGATGTTATTGAAACTGAAATACAATGTTTAGGTAAGATGGTTAACAAAGTAGTCGCAGACTCTTGAAGCAATAATTTGCAAAGGGTGTATCGCAAATAAGTGTAAAATGGTTCTGCATTTAAAAAGTAACTTTTGTGATTTGTTAAATTTTTGTTATAATTGGGAAATTATTGAAACTGTAACTAAAAATAAAGAAAATCCTATATAAATTGTAACGAATATATTTTTTATATATGTAGTTTTTGTCGCAAGCGAAAAAAATGTTTGTGTCGGTGTTCCACATTTCAGATAAAAGTTTACATTCAGTTAAATTAAGATCTTTGTTTAAAATCTTTATATCATATTTTATAGGTAATAAAATAAGCAAATGATTCCAATACAAGCACTGGATTACAGATAATGCAGATACCTAAGCACAATTATTTTAAACCTTAAATGGTTTACTTTTTGTTGCAAAGAATTCATCCCTTTTATGGTATGGCGCGTATGGGTCATCTATGTAGTATTTCGGACGACGCCAAAAACTAGTAACCATTTTGTCCAGCATATAACTCTGTGTTGAATTTGTGAAAATGTGTTGACGTAATCTTCTGCGCAGCTCGGGAGATTTTTTAAACATTTTTTTATTTCGTCCCGTGTGCGTGCGTACCCAGATTCCCCAATCGAGACGTTTAAAGCGTTTAAGAACTGCCTTTACGGATTTTCGTTTCCCTTTATTAAGCGAAAATTTCGTTAAGGAACGCGTTTGCTGTTGAGTAGAACCAAAACCTGGCACAAAAGCATTTAACACATTGGTTGGAACTGTTGATGAAAGCTTAGAAAAAAGATTGGAATTTGAAGTTGCCCACCGGTTACATACTTGATAAGAAAATGCACGCCTCATTGGGGCGATTGCGGTATTTTGATTTGCTAAATAAGTGACCGTACGGGCGGCTGAAAAGTTATACAACTTTAAGATATTGACTTATTTAAAAATATTTACAAATTTACCTCCATAAAATAATGTCCGAAGCATTTTTTGTTTTATTTATGTGGTCCGATTAATGTGTATAAATTATTTCAGATTGATTCCATAACCAGAGTAGAATATAACCAAAAAACACATATGATATTGACATTTTAGCATGACATTGCTGCACTGCATTGCCGACACATGTAGATGTCAGTTTTTTATTATTGTATTTCGAATTTCCCTTCCTCATTTGTCATCGTATCATTTCCACTCTCTGTACAAAATAGTGGCTCAGTTTAGAGTAAAGCAGAAAAAAGTTTTCGTTTTTGTCTAGATCGCGGGAGGACGTTCAGCACCGGCTCGTAAAGGAATTGGAATTATACACACGATATTAAGTTTTCCAAAAATTATAGCAATATGTATCGTCTAGCATTGAAACGACCATGCCGAGACGCCATACAGGTTAGTGTGAATATCTTAAAGAATTGTGTTGTAAAAGATATAAACTTGCTTATGTGCCGTCATCACATCTACGCGTGAGGTACTACAATCACTATCACTCAACAAAACGGAAAGCAAAGGGGCAACGAGCGCTCTTCTCACCTTACCACCCGTGTAGACAAATTGATTGTTATGTCATCTTTTAATGCAATATTCCTACGTTTTGACCAAAAATAAACCAAATGCCAGAAGAAAATGGATATGAATCTTAAATAATACATATTCTTTGTAGTAGCATGTTGTGCGAAAACTCTACAAAAAACTACACAATATGAATGGCAATTTTTGTTATTATTAGTTTATTATAAGATTTCCGCTCCCCCCCTCGTTTGCGTACTGTGATCACTTTTTTATTTAATTTTAATTGCATTTCAGATCACATTGAACCAATATAGCCGAAAAAACTATAGCAATGGTCTACCACCAAATGTACGAGAAGCCGGTTTTGGCAAAGTGCTGGTATTTCTATCGCCCCTTGTTGCTGTAGGCGGAGTTATTGGATATGCGAAGTCAGTTAATATCATACTTAAATAGAATTTATTCATATAAATAATGTCAATAACAGATATGATCCGAAATTTCGAAAACAAGTCGAACAAAATGTTCCTGGTGCTGACTACGTTTTGAAAGTTGCTTTAGAGTCAAAAGATCCTCTTGCAGACATAAATAAGCAGTTTGATGGTGTCAAGAAACAATTCAACAATGTTACGAAAACGATTGATAGCGCCACATCAACTGTCACCGGTTGGTTTGGAGGCTCCGAAAAAACCGCTCCTAAGCGTAAGTTTTTTAAGTTGTACACTGGATAATTATTGATAAATAGTAAAATATTAAATTACACAATGCAGAAACAGAAGTTGCCCCAACGAAAATCTCCCCGCCAGCAAAACCAGTGAGTTACAAACATATATGTTCTAAATATGTATATTCATAAAAAAGGTTCCAGTTCAACACAAAAGTTTATTCATCTAGGTTACAGCAAGTGCTGCTAAGGAAGCGTCTCCTGCTGCAAAGCCTCCTACTGCCAAACCTAGTGAACCTGTCCGAATAAGTAAACAACCTGAACCTTTGCCGAAGGATGTGACCGACTTGGAAAATGCTGTTGAAGTTGCAGCTGCACTTGCTGTGAAAGAGTACAACAAAGCTATTGCTATTCTCAAGAGGTATTTGTCTTCCACTTTCCTCAACTTGTCTAGTTATATAAGTTTGAACTCCCATTCCAGCTTTAATAATGATGTACGTAAAGTCGTTGATGATGCCATCGACAATGTTGACACCACGAGATGGACTTCTTTAAGGAACAAGACAAGTGCTCGTGATACTTCCGTTGCTACTGCAGAAAATTCTGCACGTGAAGCTATTGACAAAATCGGTAATCAAGCACAACACTTGAAATTGTTAAATATTTCGATATATTACCCAAAATCATAATTTTATGTATTTAGAAAAGTGTGAGATTGCATTAAGCAAAGCTGCAACCGCTGATAATCATGAGCAGATCGTTACCATACGCAAAAAAATTAAAACGTTGGTGGAACACATTAACCACGTCAAAGATGAGTTATATCAGCATAAAGATCTTGCCACTGTGTCCGAAAAATATTGGCGAAATGTGAGTATGATATAAAAAGCAATAGCGATCACTGTTTGAGTAAACGATTTATAATATTGGTTATAGGTGGAAAAGGCACGCAACTACTTCATTGAGGAAATTGAGTCTATATTCCCCGGTTTAAATTTGGCGGATCAGAAACTAAATCTCTCAAAAGAAGATTTGGATTTATTTATCATGCATGCTTACTCCCATGTACTGGCTTACCAAAAGGAACTGCAACGTTTGCAAACTGATGGTGAATTAAGGCTGAAACGTGTCATAGATTCCTTTCGCGGTGATAACGAATCGGAGGCAGTTAAAGCCCAATTGGATTATCACTTGGAAGCTGAGAAGCGAAAATTGGCACTCGAACATCAGAAGAAAATTTTCCAAATCCGAGCTGATTCCGAAAAACAATTGCGTCAGCAATTGAAAAAACAAGCTGAAGCACATATTGATCACTTGAACGATGCGATAGCCATGAAGGAAAGCGAAATGAAGCGTAACTTCACCCGTGAATTGGAAGACAAATTGGCCACTGAAAAAGCTAATTATAAATTACAACTTGCGGCTATGGTTGGAAAAATGCGCGGCATGGATGCTGCTCTACAAGGTAGGTACACTTTTCCATTGCTTATAAAGTGCAATTTTATAACAAGTTTCTTTAAAAACGCTACTAATAAGAAATTGATGATGAGCTTAAAGGTACAGAGTTCACCCAATAAACCTTTTTATAACCTGATATTAATATTAAAGTTTGAGCAATATGAAAATAAATTGCTTATATTTACAGCGCGAGCTGAGGCGGAGCGTTCTGCTCATCAAGCGCAAGCACTTTGGGCTGCCTGCCAGGCCTTATGGGCTACAGTAAGCACTGGTGAACCTGGCGTACACTGGCGCAATAAGTTGCGTCCTCTAAAGAGTGAAATCAAGGCGATTTCTAAAGTAGCTGGTAATGATATAAAACGATTCAATAATTGTATCCGATGCTATAAAGTTATTTAATTTTGTTGTAGAGGGTGACGAGCTGGTTTCTGTTGTCATACAAAATTTACCACCTGCCGCCAGTGAGCGTGGCGTGTTCACAGAAGATGCATTGCGTGAACGGTTCATTAATGTAGAGCGCGTTGCACGCAAACTAGCGCTTGTACCCGAAGGCGGGGCTAGCCTACCCATCTATTTCCTGTCATACTTACAATCATTGTTCATTTTGAAGCCTGACGATCCCATTTCACAGGATGAATTGCAAAACAAACCGTTTGATTACAGTAAATTGGACACCTATGATATTTTGAATAGAGCTAGGCAAGTCAATTTGTTGTTACTTACCTTAAATATATATCTAATATCATTTGCTTTTTGCTTCAGGTATTTCGTTGATCGTGGAGATCTGCTGCAAGCCTTGAAGTACATGAATCTATTGCAAGGCGGTGCGCGTCGTGTTGCATGTGATTGGTTAAATGAAACGCGTCTAACGTTGGAGACCAAACAAGCTGCCAATACGTTAATGGCCCATGCTGCTGCCAGTGGCCTCTTATATCTGTAAATTAAAATAATGAATTGACTTAAACCGTAATAGAAGAAACACATTTTTCTTGTTGTTGTTGGATAATCGTTACAACAACAACAAGAAGAATCGATTGCATGCGGAAGTCATTTGGTATCAATTAATTACTATATTTACATTACACTTATCCGGCAAATTAAGTCAACGCTTTAAATAATTATTTAAATATTCCTTTTACATAATTATTTTTTTTTTTTTAAATATTCATTAATTTATAATTGTTGATTTAGTTGCGCATTCCGAATGTAAAGAAATGAACAAGTTGTTGTAATGTTGATAAAGAAATAAAGGAAGAAACACATCCGCAATAGTAAGAAGGTTGAAAAGGCTGGTGATTTTTATTTATGGTCGATGGTAAATGTGAGAAGTTGAGTCATTTTTATACTCTCGCAACCTGTTGCTACAGAGTATAATAGTTTTGTTCACCTAACGGTTGTTTGTATCACCTAAAACTAATCGAGTTAGATATAGGGTTATATATATATAAATGATCAGGATGAAGAGACGAGTTGAAATCCGGGTGACTGTCTGTCCGTCCGTCCGTCTGTCCGTCCGTCCGTCCGTCGTCCCAGTCGCCGTCCGTCTTTCCGTCCCTCCGTCGTCTGTCCGTCCGTCCGTCCGTCCTTGTCCGTCGTCCGTCCGTCCTGTCCGTCCGTCCGTCCGTCTGTCCGTCCGTCGTCCGTCTGTCCGTCCGTCCGTCCGTCTGTCGTCTCCGTCCCGTCCGTCTGTCCCGTCCGTCCGTCGTCTGTCCGTCCGTCCGTCCGTCTGTCCGTCCGTCGGTCCGTCTGTCCGTCGTCCCGTCGTCTGTCCGTCCGTCCGTCCGTCGTCCGTCCGTCCGTCCGTCTGTCCGTCCGTCCTCCGTCTGTCCGTCCGTCCGTCCGTCTGTCCGTCCGTCCGTCCGTCTGTCCGTCCGTCCGTCCGTCTGTCCGTCCGTCCGTCCGTCCGTCTGTCCGTCCGTCCGTCCGTCTGTCCGTCCGTCCGTCCGTCTGTCCGTCCGTCCGTCCGTCTGTCCGTCGTCCGTCCGTCTGTCCGTCCGTCGTCCGTCGTCCGTCGTCCGTCGTCTGTCCGTCCGTCTGTCCGTCCGTCCGTCCGTGCAAGCTCTAACTTGAGTAAAATTGAGATATCTTATGAAACTTGGTAGACAGTTTCATGGTACCGTGAGACGGTTGGTATTGCAGATGGGCGTAATCGGACCACTGCCACGCCACAAAACGCCATTAATCAAAAACAAATAACTTGCCATAACTAAGCTCCGCAATAAGATACAAGACTGTTATTTGGTACACAGGATTACATTAGGGAGGGCATCTGCAGTTAAAATTTTTTAAAAATGGGCGTGGTCCCGCCTCTAATAGGTTTAATGTGCATATCTCCTAAACCGCTAATGCTATAATAACAAAATTCACTGGAAGCAAATATTTTTAGCACTTCTATTGACGGTGTGAAAATAGTTGAAATCGGTGCAACTCCGCCCACTCCCCATATAACGGTACTGTTAAAAACTACTAAAAGCGCGATAAATCAAGCACTAAACACGCCAGAGTCATTAAATTTTATCTCTGGGATGGTATGAGATGACTTTATAGGAACGCGTTCAAATTAGACAGTGGGCGTGGCACAGCACTTTTAGGTGAAAACCCATATCTTGAGATCTGCTTAACCGATTTCAACCAAATTCGGTGCATAACGTTCTTTTCATGTTTCTATGTCACAGTGCAAAAATGGGCGAAATCGGACTACAACCACGCCTACTTTCCATATAACACCATTTTAAATTCCATCTGATTATTTCACTTTCCACTATGCAAATCAGGCAACAATGACTGTATCGGATAAAACTTTGCGTGAATAATAGAAGTATGCCACCTTGTGGCCAAAACTGTCTAAATCGAACCAAAACTGTTTAAGCCCTAGTACTAAATATGTGGACCCCAGTGCCTATAGTTGACCTTCTACCGAAAATATCAGCCAATCCACAAAGAAATCTCAAACGAGTATACTATTTGACTTTGCGAGAGTATAAAATGTTCGGTTACATCCGAACTTAGCCCTTCCTTACTTGTTATTCCTTACATTTATACACGGACTAACGGGCACGGCT